TGCTGGCAGACCAAATCCAGGAACACACCAAAATGATTATCTACCATGATCAAGTTGAGATCCAGGGTGGATCAAAACCACACTGACATTTCACCGAGAAAATAGATTTTAGATGTTTTTACCACATGTAAGAAAAAGCTAACTATAAAGGGCAAAGCCCTTCCTAATTTGTTCAACTATAGTAATTACTTAACATAGTAGATAGTACAACTTTGTGCGTGTGTGTGTGCATGTATGTGTGTGTGTGTGTGTGTGTGTGTGTGTATAGGCCTCCAGCAGGGATTAAACATCAGAAATGAATTCTTTTGCACATCTGATTTATGCTCCGATCAGACAGATCATTTTGCTTGCATGATCAAGAATAAGAAAGTATCCTTTAATGTGATTTATGCTAATGAAGATGTGATATAGCATACCTTAAAATATATTTAGAAAGTTCAGATCTACATTTAAAGACATCTTAGAAAAATCTGTAGGTGCAATTCAATCAATACTATACAGTACAATACTGTACAATACCTTTAAGAGGATCAGAGTATTTTAAATTGCCATAGCAAGAGTTCAAGATTTAACTGGCTTTATTTTTTTTTCTTATTGAGACATGAATCCTAAATAAATCAGAATGTATAGTTTTTCCCTTAAGTAACATAGTCTGTTTAAAGGCTTCATGAAATGACATGATACAATCCTTATACCAAGATTTGCTTAAAATAAGAAAAGTAGGTTCAATTGAAATATCATCCATACATAAACATAGATATACTCTCTATGCAGAAGTAAACAAGTATCTCTCAATGAGAAAAGTATCAACTCCCTGAACTAAATCACATAAAAAGAAAACAGGAAACTTGGAATATAGTTCTTAAGAAGAAAAAACAATAAAACCTCACATTTTAAAATAACATTTAACATCTAAAAATACGTATGTATATTACAGGATGCATCACTGAATCCCCTAAGTAGGAAAGTAGCCCTGTACCCACCCAACAGCACTGCCATGCTCTGAAATAAAATGGTCTGGCTTCAAATTCTAAATGTTCAGGTTACTAGTCTTATGACCTGGAAAAAATTGCTTAACCTCTCTGAACTTCCCTTTATCTATCCAAAAACTTACAATTGTGACTGAAAGAGAACCTGTAGATACCTGAACCTGGCAATATCTAGCATCTAGGACAGAGCAAATAAATGAAAGCGGTGGGAGGTAGCTCAGCGGTAGAGTCCATGCCTAGCACGTACATGCCCTGAGTTCTCTTCCCTGCTTGGTTAGAAAACACTATGAACAGTAATGAATAAAGCTCATTTTTTTCTCTCTAAACAGAATATGTCATTCAGTTGGAAATATGAAGATGTCTGTCTCAGGAGGCAGCATGAAATGGTCTATATTCATTCAAAATCATAATTACTTATCCATAAATGCCTTCTGTGCTCTAAGTAAAGTCCAGCTTAGCACTATGAGAAATTAAAGTTTGCTGTGAAAGTAATTTTATCTTGGTTGTGGGTAAAGAATGAAACATGATTTTAATTTCTACTTTAATAAAATAGGACTCTGTTGGGTAACAAACAGATGGTAAGGAACTTAAGTGTATATTTTAAGTATCTTGGTATTTTTAGAATATTCAAAGTATTAACGATATTCAATATTACCAATACTTCTTACTAATGACATTGTATTCTTCACAATTATTTTTTTTAACTCAACAGACTATAATAAGCCTGGAAGTCATTTAAACTACTAACCAACAGAGTCATTCAGTTATCTTTGGGATTATTTTATTCCATTTTCTTGTAAAGAAATAAATGTAAGTGACAGAATGCACAGGAAAAGTCAACCGTGCAGAAGGCTTTTAATGAATTACATTTTGGCAAATGATCACAGACAAATTAACAAAAGCTGACTCATGCTGATCTCATTTATTTGTTCTATACATATCTGATTAGTCGGCATTAATTCTGTTGATGGAAACAGAAGAACTCTATTGTTATATACAGATTAGAAACGTAAACACTTAGCATTTCCCACAACTACTGTGAATGTTATGTTAAATAATATTGTGAATGCCAGAAATGGTTCGGCAGGCAAAGTGCTCTACTGCCCCCTAATGAAACAAACCAACCAAACCAAAACAAGAAAACTCATTTTAAAGTATCTGTGAACCAGAAAAATCATCTTACTTTGCAAAATGCAGTCAGAGATACAAAGGACATTAGCTGAAAATCACTAGACTATAGATCTGTCCAAAAGCTACAATCATCCATTTTTCACGATAAAATTAGTAGCAAAACAGGAAAGCCTTGAGACAGAAATATTCTCAGGGCAAAGATAACATAGCCAAACAGTGTTATCGAGTATGGTAACAAAGGAAACTGACTGCAAGCTACACGTTTGTGCCATGTTGTAAGCTTTCCATGTTTTCACCAGGAAAGCCAGCTCCTTAGAAACTACATTGTGTTTTCAGTTCAGTGCTCAAAAATAAACACTGTCCAGATAGTCTCTAATTTACACTGACTCTAATCCTCTCAGGATCTCAAAACATGTACATATCCTAGATAATTATGTCATAAAATACATATTTAAGAAGAATTCCATTCCTACCTACATGTTACTATTTTAAATAATTTGATAATTTCATACTTTGTGGATCTTTTTCATAGTTCCATACGTAGTCCTGACTTCTATTAATAGCAGCTTTCCTTCAATAAGTTTGGTTTTCAAGACCTGCTCCATATCCTTGCCTTTTCACTTCAAGCCTACCACCAATTCCTGAATTCTCTTTTAAGAACACAGCAAACTGAGAATATAGTTCGTGGTCTCTAATAACAGAAGTAACATAAATATTAACACCAAGCAGCCACATGAAATAGACATTTTAAAACATGAACTCATGATAACAAGAAATATAAAGAAAAGATATAACTCCAGGCAGAATTCAGCAATCAGCTGAGAAGACAGTGTAGCTGTCAACTGTTCCTTGAGGCACAGCATCACTTGGACACAGCATGTCCCTGCCCAGGGTGACAATGGTTTTACATTTCGTTGTGTGTTAGGAAATATTACCTGGGTCGAAGTCCACACAGCAGCATGGGGAGGGACAATGTAAAGAAGTGACTCAGTCTGGACACAGAATGGGGTCCTAGCACCCCTCACAGTGGGTGCTGCTCTCCGTCTGTCTACTGTGAATGACAGCGGAGCCCCAGCTCTGCATGTTATAAGGCTAAATAACGCTCATATGCAATAAGATCCGATCAAAAAATCAAAAGAGCAACAAATGGAAAAAACGTAAATGTCCCTGAACCTGTATCACAAATGAGCTATATTTTCATATCTGTACTAACTTCCTGGGTAACATGAATTTTAAAAAAGACAGCTTTCTAGAAGCTTTAGTCCTTTGTGTCCACTGCCTAACAAGAAAGCAGACACACAGGCGTAAAGGCATGTGTTGTGATAAAGCCGGGAGGCCTTAAGCATCCCAAAGTAAAGCACTATGGAAGCCCTGATGCCTAGAGCATATCTAAGATTTGGTATTTTAAAAAAAAATCTCATACACTGCTGTAGCTACCTGGAGTTAACATGCAGTCACCATAGAGAAACTGACAGCACAGAGCTACTTAAGTATGCATATGTTCAGTCATGGTGAGCCCCAGTTTACTCAGCGTATTCCAGACCAGTGTCCTAAACTAATGGAATGCCTCCCTTGGTTGTCAAAAGGGAAAAGGACGTTCTAGGCTGTCCTTGTGCTCTTGGGTTCCCAGTAAGTATAAATATTAAAAGTATATCAGGGGAGAATAAAAAGAGATGACATAGAAAAGAGAAAAAAGAAAATGACAATAACTACATTAGCAAGTTAGGTTAGTAAGAAACTTTGGCCTGAAGCAAATGGACTGATGAACAGATTGATTAGCTATTTTAGCTTCCCACATTGTACTGATAGTGATGATGATAATAGCCAGTACTTACTGAGAATTTACCACACTGGCCTAAGTGCTTTACACATAGTAGGCATGGAATCGTCAGAGAAACCCTACAAGATACACACTACATGCTACAAGGAGAGACTAGCTGCATGCCCGAGTCACGTCACCACTAAGTTGCAGCACTAACAATATACTTCTCAGTTTGACGCTTGACTAATAAGTGTGTATTGTTTCCAGTAAAAAATGTGTGAAACAAATTGAACAAAATGATTTTGTTCAATGCATTAAACTACTTTATTATGTATAAGACTTAAATCACATCAGTCTTTTGGGGTTATATAACCTGGCTTGGCCACTGGCCCAGTTCTTGAAAAAGACAGAAATGCCTAGGACATAATAACTAATTGTGCTCATGCTATCAAAGTACATTCTATCCCATTATAAGCACAGCTACTGGGAGAACATATTCAGCTACTGTAACCTCTCCATCCTCAGATCTCCCACAGCACCCCAGTCCCAGCTCCATCTAAATATCTCAAAATGATACAAAGTCTCATCTATTTCGAGGGTAAATTTACACACCCTTTTCTATCTTAAAAGAGTAATTACAGGATAAACCATGATAGGTAGCTCTCACTGTATCAGAAAGGTATTTCTCTGAGCCACAGTGGAAACCCTTCCATGGTACTTCTTCACCTTTGGTAATTATGTTCAAGTTATTCTGAAACTGATACTAAAGGAGAAACTGCCGTATGATGTAAAACTGGTTCAAAAATCTATCTTGCAAAAGGATGAATTTAAACACATGAACACACGACTCCCTAAAATATAATTCAGGTTATCCAAGTGTCCCAGGCATTGGCTGGAGAACAAACATCCCCTTCCCTTTACACATGCAACTTACAACTTAACACACACACTCACGCATGAGTGGGTGGGGACATCAAGAACAGTGACTTCACAGGGACTTCACTAAATTTCACATTGCAAGATAAGCTGGTTTACGGTTTAAATCTGGACTCCTCTGTCAATGAGGCATGAGACCTACCAAACAAGATACCTCCTTTCCCCAGGGCACAGTGTCTTACCTTGGAGTCTTCCTTGCTCACTTCCAGTTGCAACAGGGCCTGGGGAGACTGCAGCTTCGCTTGAGCCGAGTGAGCCATTTGCAGGTTAAGCTGCCATCCCACTGTCTCTAGCTATAAAAGACAAATGGGGACTGGATTAAGATGGTACAGAAGAAGAAAACAGTCAACTTCAAGTCTATTTCCACCCTGTAAGAATCAACACAAATACCGTACACTTAATGGAAAGTCAACTTCAGGGTCCTTTAACCTGAAATCTCTGTAAAGCTTCCCTCTACACTCAGCAGATCAGCCTCTTGTCAAATCCAACAGTGAAAGTGGTCTCTAAACAGACTACTGTAAACAATAAAAATGCTAGCAATCAAGTACAAAAAGCAGCTGATGGTGGGTTGAATTGCAAAGCTTGGGGGGCACAGGACATTTCCCAAATCCATCATATAGCCCAGGATGGCGTTCAACTCCTGATCTTCCCACCCCACCTCCCAAGTACTACACTTACTGACACATGCCACCATATCCAGTTGAGCCACTGGCTTTTAAAACCTTGTTATTAAGATAGCATTTTAGAAACTTTACTTATTTACTATTTTCTACATCGTGACCACAGATCCCCCTCCCTACTATCTTCCTAGTCCCTCTCCCTACCTCCACTCTTACACTCCCTACCCCAACTCTTCCTACTTCTCTTCAGAAAAGGGCCGCACTCCCATGGATATCAACCAGCCATGGCATCTCAAGTTGCAGTAAGAGTAGGCACCTCCTGTTCTATTAATGCTAGTTGAGGCAACCCAGTCGGAGGAACAGGTTCCAACAGCAGGCAACAGAGTCAGAGGCAGCCCCTGCTCCCACTGTTAGGAGTCCTACAAGAAGACCGAGCTGCACACTGTAACACATGTAGAGAGGGCTGCCTGGAGATGGGTCCAGTCTGTGTGAGCCCTTATGAGCCCAGGTTAGTTGACTCTGTAGGTTTTCCTGTGGTCCTTGCCTCATCTGGCTCCTACACTCCTCCCCTCCACCGCCCCCTCTTCTCAAGGATTACATGAGTTCCGCCTAATGTCTGGCTGTGGGTCTCTTGCATTTGAGAAACTTAGATTTAAAAAAATACAAATTTCAACTAGTAAATAGAATATTTTGTTGAAAAATCCTTTATTGACTTCCTGTCTTTCAAAAATCTTCGTGTTACCTGGAGCACAAATAAGGCTTTCTTTCCCTCATCCCTCCTTTCCTTCCTTTTTTTCCTCTCCTACTGAGAAGAAAACTAAAATACCCAAGTGTGTGGTTCACATCATAAGGCACAGTCAATAAGCAGAGATTCAGGCAAGAAACTGCTGATCATCAGCTAGCCTGTGGTACCAGAGAGGTTATTATACTTTCCAAAGTACATTAACTTACTACGGCTCCCAATTATGGTAGAAACTAATTGTTTCCTTTAAATCTACTAACACAAGAGTACAAGCTAATCAGGTAGGACAGAATTAGGAGAGAAAGACGATGGCAGTTCAGCCTCCCTTGCAACCATTACACAGCATAAACAAAGCTTTATGAGACTAGACTCGGCAGTATGATCATGTGGTTTTAGATTCAGTTCCCTATAAACCTCAAGTATCAAGCTCTGTGAAGTACAGTAGTTACAAGCCTCTGACAACAGAGCCTTCCTGATGAGTTAGCCAAACCACCTTTGCTGGACAGGGTCTGAATGCCAGCCTCACAACCCTTACTACCTGACCAGAATGCTGATCACTTAACTTGAAAGCATGTTGAAAAGACACAGCAGTGACTCCAGGCCAAGCTGGAAAGAATGCAATGAGAGCATCATCGGCATGAGAGAGGCTGTGCTGAGAAAGCAGAGGTGCACCGCTGCTTCTCCAGCTCTCTCAGAGGTTAGAGGCCATGCCACAGCCACTAACAGGTAAGAACTCACTTCGAAGGTGTCTACTGAGGAACATTAACGTTCTGGCCACTAGCACTCATTGGAACAGTCTCTGGGACAGTGTCTAATATGAGCCCAACACTGCTTTCAACAGTCACAAGAAGGTCGACACATCATGTCCTTCTAGGTATTCACATGGACCTGTATTTCTTGACTTTATGGGCTGACCACCTATGCCAGAGTTGAATGCATGCCAGGGTGCTGCCTAAAGCTGGTATAAGGCAACCGCTGTTGAACTTGAACACCCTCCTTTGGTTCACATGTAAGGCACTGCTCCCTCATCCCTGGCTAAGGCAGAGTCTTCCAAGATCTCCATTCCCCCATATAAAACAGAAGTCCATTTACCTGAACCTCTTTAACATGTATTGAAACAGAAAATTCAAATTATAGTGTTGGTGATATTTTAAAGAATTGTAAGTGCAAGGCATTTTAGTCATGTAACCTTTTCTGTATCTCTCATGTACTCACCAAAGTACTTAACCTGGTTCAGACTCTCATTACCCATCTCTTCACAAACTAACACAGATTGTTTCTAACCAAGTCCCTACCTTCTCTCTAACCCCATCGCAAGATTCCATTTTCCTTCTCCAACTGTGTGTCCCAGAATACACTATGCTAGTTGCTAGGGACATTACAGATGTGGCTACTTTGTCACATGAGTGTCAGTAGGTGGCAGAGAAGAGAGAGGCTGTGTTGATGCTCAGTGTTCCTGACTCTATGAACATATGAATGATTAGTAGCTTAACATCCCCTGAAAAAAACAGAGCCTGAGATGACCACCAGTCCAACAACAGGCAGGTCTAGACAAGTTCCCAGGATGGGAAGCAAGCTAGAGACTAGAAGAACCCCACCTAGGACGTCAGCCCAGGAAGGGAGGTAGCCTGAGACAGAAGACCCTCAAAAGGGGCCCCCCAGGTAGGCCAGGTGAGGAGCGAGCCCTAGATGACCAGCACCATTGGGACGCTGACAGGGAGCAAACGTGAGATGAACACCAATCCAGTACTCCAGGCCTCAGGAGGATGACCCTTCACTGGTACTACTAAGAGAAGCAAGTTAGCGGTGGAGAAATAGAGAAGGAGAAACAGAAGGATGTGAGCATGAAGAGAGGCAGAAGTGGAGACTAGAGGGTAGTGAGAAACACCCTGAGGTAAGTAGCAGGAGATCCCACCTGAGACCATGGTGGGGTCCTGGCCTATGCTGCTACCCGCGGCTACATCTGGGTCCATGGCCCTGCAGCAGAAGGGGTCTCTTACCACCAAAGGCCAGGCAAACATCTCTGGTCTGGGCTATCACCTGGGGACATATCTGAGGTCTGTGAAGAACTGGCCCCACCTCTTGCCTGGGCAGAGCTTGCCCTAGAGGAATGAGAACAGGAGAACTGACCCTGCCCTTCGGCAGGCCAGCTGCAGAAAGGGGGCTCTCCCCATTACAGAAGCTGAGGGTAAGCCAGACTTGAGGATGTGAGTGTGGGAGAGTTGGCCCTACCACTTGTCTCCCGTGCAGTGGCATGGATGAGGGAAAGATATCCTCTTCATCATCCTCTTCTTCCTCTTTTTCTTCCTCCTCTTCCTCTTCCTCTGTCCCTCACTGCCTGCAGAAGACGTGAAACCTGGCCCTGGGGTCATGAAAGCAGGAGAGCTGGTCCTGCCCTTTACTAGCTGCAACACTAGGGAAAGTGAGCCCTGCAACTTGGTTAAGCAAGCACAGTAGAGCAGACCCTGGTGGTGGGTACACAGGCAAGCCATCTCTGAAGGCATGAGTATGGGAGAGCTGGCCTCACCACTGTATGCTGTATGCTGTCTGCTGTATGGTGACATGGGCAAGGGAGAGATCCCGCACCACCACCACCACGCCACCTACAGCAGCCCCTGAAGTCAGGAACAGGAGAGTAGGCCCTGTACCTCACCTAGGCAGCACAGTAGAGCTGGCCCTGAGCCTCACCTGCTGCAGCACTCAGGAGAGTGGTCCCAGCACCTTGCCAGGGCAGCACAGTAGAGCTGGCACTAGGGGTGGTGGTTGCAGGTGAGCAAGCCTGAGAACATGAGCACAGAAGACTTAGACCTGCCTCTTGTCTGCTGGGTAGTGGTGCTGATGAGGGAAACCTACTCCACTCTCACATCCCTCACCATCGATGGCAGACTGGAGAGCTGGCCCTGGGGTCATAAGCCAGAGAACTGGCCATGTCCCTCACCAGCTGCAACACTCAGGAGAGAGAGCCCTGCACCTTACTTGGAGAACTGGCCCTGGTTGCTGGTGAGCCAGCCCCGAGGGGGCATGAGAGCTGGAAAGACAGCACTCAGGCCCAGATCCAGAGCTTTGAATTGACCTACTCCAACATCTACCCCATCAATGAACTGCCGGAGTGCACAAAGGGGTGGGTCCTATAGATCCAAAACTACAGGATCTCCATGACACAGGGTAACAACAGAATATCCAAAAAGGAGTTCCAGTGAAGTGCCAGTATTAATACAGTAGCAGAAGTAGGGGGCCTCATACCAGACCAATGCAAGCAGACACTTACAAGCAAGGAAGTGTGGACAAAAGAGAATTCTGTGGGACGCACTGTGACACACTACACCTTCCACAACCAGATTTGTTTTCTGTGTTGGAAAGAGGTTGTAAGGGTGTATGGTGGGTATGAGGGAAAGAAAAGATGAGTGGGATTGGGTTGCATGATCTGAAATTCACAAAGAATCAATAAAAAGATTCAAAAAAAATGAGTAAAAGTGTATCTGAGTAGTACATAGTCATCAATGTAAACGTGGGAATGTATATTCCCATGGCTTTCGTGTTACAAAAGCAGGGGGAGGCTGGGGGAGGGTCAGAGGAAGAGGGGGTCAATGTGGAAAGTTTTCACCATCTAACCCAAGAGGTCAAAATTAACATGACCCAAAAGTAGGAAATGGTTGTCAAGAACTTAAAATTTATGTACCATGATGGCTACAAGATCACTTTTATACTAAACTAATAAAAAAATTCATAGCCAAAATTAGATCATGAACAAACTATAGAAAATTGTAAATTAAGGACTATCCTACAAAATAAACTGTATATTTATATTTATATTTATATTTATATTTATATTTATATTTATATTTATATTTATATTTATATTTATATCAAACACACGCATGACTAAAAAGAAAAACTAAAAGATGTAACCTTTTACAATGCTTGGAACATGTTATTTGCTGGGTCTAAAAAGAGCACTGGTGATACAAGTATGAACAAGAGCCGTTCTCTCTGCTAAGGTGAAAGTCTCATGGTTCACTAATCAGTCCTCTGAGACCCATAACAAGAAGCAAATACAGCTGTCATCAATATTTTAATTACATGCAACACAACAAAATTTAGTGTAAAGTTAGCTAAGCTATATTACCTCTGTTCGAAATAAAACTGTCCTGTGTATACTCTACATTTGTATATTAAAATACTCAGGAATTTTGTTGTGCTATTTATACTCAAATTTAAAACTTAGGGTCTACATTAGTTTGCTTCCTGTGTTGTGGTGAAGACACTATGACCACAGACAACTCCCTTGGGTGGTGGTGGGGGTGACCTATAAGCTTTTTATTTAGCTTATAGGTCATAGTCTATCATCTAGGGTAGTTAGGCAGGAGCTCCGGGCAGGAACCTGGAGGCAGGAACTAAGCAGGGGTTCTGGAGGACTGCTGTTTATTGGTTTGCTCCTCATGGCCTGTTCACCTAATATTCTCATTTAACTTAGGAACACCAGCCCAGGATTGATACCACATAAATCATTAATCAAGAAACGGCCCAAAGACTTGCCTACATGCAATCTGATCAAGACATTTTCTCAATTGAGGTTCTCTCCTCCCAGATGAGTCTAGTTTGTATCAAGTTGCCAAAAAAAAAAAAACAAAAACAAAAAACAAAAAAAACTATCCTATCAGGGTCTGGATTTAAATGTTAGCAAAATAAATTTAAATAAACCACTAATATTTTAAATGTTTTTTAACTCATTCCAGAACTGTGAATACATTACCTCTTAAACATCTAAAAATATTGTTTCTTACTCAAAAATGTTACTAGTTAGTTGATTAATTATTTTCTTTTGTCTCCTATGTCCATGTCAAATTTTCAATCAAATATTAACTTATAATTACTCTATAAAACAATTCTGAACATGGTCCACATTAACAAAATGACTATTATATTAACTCTATAAAGCTAAAAACTAATAAATATGGCTGGAGAGATGGCTCAGTCAGTAAAGCACTTGCCATACAAGCATGGCAATCAGAGCCCCAGCACCCATATCAAATGCAGGGCATAGAAAGGGGTGGGCAGGTCCCAAGAGCTCACTGGACAGTCAGTCTAGCCAACCAATGAGCTATGGGCTCAGTGAAAGGCCTTCTCTCAAAACATACAGTAAAGAGTCTCTCTCTCTCTCTCTCTCTCTCTCTCACACACACACACTCAAGCACATACAAATAAGTTAGCAGCTAAACATACAAAGTAAATAGACAAGCAGCTAAATTTTAACAGGTTTGTGTCTAAAAATAGAAGTTATTAAAATGTTTGGATGAGAGAAAAGTCATGCCACACAACCAGCATATAAAAGAAGGCTGCATGGGCTATATTAATATCAGACAATTCAAACTTCAAGTCAAAGAATGTACCTTAAGGTCACTTACAAGAAAGGCATATTGCTCATACATGGGACACTGACATAATTACAAAAGAGAGCACACCCTTCACGCTGTCAGTGAGGCTGCTGATCTCCTAATACTCTGTTCAATGAGGGCAAAGATGGTGATACACGGCAGAAATTAGAATTTTCCTGTATCTAGGTTTAAAAAGAAATATCTACTACTTTTTTCAAGAGGAAAAAGAAATTGCTTGAAAAAGGAAAAAGTACATAAGGTACACAGTTTGAACGTTCCTGATCCAGAAATCCAGACACCAAAAATGGTTCAAATCGGATAACTTCTCAGTAGTAATGCGCCATGTAGAGGACCTGGGATTTGGGGCATTTCAAATTGCAGATGCACAGCTGGGAACATGCAGTAAATATCCCAAGATCTGAACAACCATAAAGTCTGAACGCTGCTGGGAGCAAGCATTTGAGATGAGGAACATTTGACCTCTACTGACAAGAGTGGGAGTTTTCAGAGGAAACTGGACAAAGAGCTAAGACTACACAGAGCGCTTCTTTATGCATGTTTGGGGAAAATCACTTCAGCTTAATGGTCAGGTGATATCTTCAGAAATGGAGGCACACACGTACAGTGCTGGAGTGCAGGTACAACCTCTTCAGTCATCTCAAGAAGCTGGCATTTTCCTCATCAGTCAGTCAGATCTGTACTTCAACTCCATGACCGTTCTTCCTACTTCCCTGCTGCTGGACAGCTCACCTAATTCCAACCATCAGTTTTTTTCACTTTGGGTGAAAACTGAGGAAACCTGATTCAACCACTGACCTGAGCATTTGTGGGCAAAAAGCTATGTGTAAAAGCACTGGCAATGCAGCTGACAAATGGGATATTAACAATAAATACTGTCCTCCGGTCCTCCCTTTCAGGTCACAATTCCTTTTTTTTTTTTTTAAATTTTTATTTCACGTGCATTGTTGTCTATGTGAGGGTGTCAGAAACTCTGGAAGGCCAGGCAGTGCTGGTGCACGCCTTTAATCCCAGCACTTGGGAGGCAAAAGCAGGTGTATTTCTGAGTTCGAGACCAGCCTGGTCTACAGAGTGAGTTCTAGGACAGTCAGGGCTACACAGAG